TGCAACCTCTGCCTCCTGGGTGCAAGCTATTCTCCTACCTCAGCCTCCCAAGTAGCTGGGATTACAGGTGGCTGCTACCATATTCTGCTAATTTTTTGTATATTTAATAGAGATAGAGTTTTGCCATCTTGGCCAGGCTGGTCTCCAACTCCTGGTCTCAGGTGATCTGCCAGCCTTGGCTTCCAAAGTGCTGGGATTACAGGTGTGAGGCTCTGTACCTGGCCAACTTCTCCATTTCTATTGGTAATACCAACGTCTTTCTAATTTACTTGGTCAGAAATTTTAGAGTACTTTTATTCTTCTCCTGATACTGGGGACTTCTTTTACTCTATTTCATTGACTTTAACCCTAGTTCAGACTTTTATCACCTAATTCTTGGAAAAATGCAACAAAGTGACTGGCTGGAGAATAATTCTGGCTCAAATGTCTTCCCTTCTCAAATCTGTACTGCATGTCTTTGCAAGATCATTGTCAATGAAATATTTCATTTGTGAGTTCATACATTGTTCCCTTTTCCAAGTATTTTTGCACACTGAATGTATGACATTCCATTCCCTTATATGTAACTTACTTAATGCTTACATGAACTAAATGAGATAGTGTTTTTATCTCCATTTTACAGATAAGGAAATTAAGATTTCGGTTACCTGCCCAAAATCACAGTTACACCAATGACAAAATGGTAGTTAGTATTTTTATCTTTATTTTACAAATAAGGGAATTAAGATTTAGGTTACCTGCTCAAAGTCACAGTTACACCAATGACAGATGGTAGAGCTGAGGGCTGAACACAGGTCTTTTTAGCTGAAAACTCTGAGCTCTGCTTAATCATTGTGCTACATATAACCCAAGTTTAAATTCCTCTTCACTTTGGAGGATTTCCATGGTATAGCCTACCAATCCTACTTAACTTCCCATTTCTGCTGCACTTGGATTTTCTATTTCATATTTCAAATATCTTTCTAGTTATCTCCTGGGCATTGCCCTTCTCTACTTCAAGTAGATTGTAAGCTTCTTAAAACCTTACTTACTACACTTGCCTCGCATTTCTACAAAGATCTACTATTGTAGATGGCACAGTAAATTCTCAGTGAATAATTTCTAAAATCTTTAGCACAGTTCTTGGCTAAACAAGAACACATGCATGTTTAACAAATGGTACCAATGATAATTATTATTATACAGGTACTGATTCATCATATTGAAGACCTAATTAGGAAACCAGAAAATTCTGATCTCTTCTTCAGTCCTAAGAACTGTTTTTTGCTTGCTCTTTTCACAACTTAGATTAGTGGTTTCCAATATTAAGTGAGTACATTTCAGTCTCATCTCTCCTTTCTACGAAACAGTCCCAAGTATGATATAGACATCACTGTAACATTAACAGCAAAATTTCGTCCATTACTGCTCTCTTTGAGGGTATTTTGGCGAAAGGAAAATGGAATAGTTGTAGTTACAGTTTTTAAATAAATGGTTAATGCGCTGCCTATAGATGGATCTATCGATGGATCAACTTCATTTAACTTTCATGAAGTTACTGGTGTTTGTCAAGACTTCCTGGCTCAAGTTTCTGATGTACAGAACCTAGCATTCTTCAGGCATCTCCCCTGTTGTATAATCCCTGCTTCACTCTGGCGCTTCGAGCAGATTTGGTTCACATCCAGCAACAGGAAATCCCGGCCTTCAGGCCTTGCATGGTTTATATGACGCAGTGAAAACGGCCGATTCAGGGCCTCCCCTGCACTGCTTGCCGAAGGTCCGGCGCATGCGTCCCGTCCCGGGTGAGCGCCGTCGCGCCACATACGTCACACTCTCCGGAAAACGCCGCTGCGTAAACGGCGGGGGCGTGTCTTCTGGTCCCTCCGCATGTAGTTACCTGAGAAACGCGGGAAGTTGGGTCGGGGCACTGTTGCTCTGGTAGCCTAAGTTCTTTTATTTGTGGAGAGAGCCGTGAGGTTGTCCTCTGGCCCAAGTCCTTAGGCCGATTCGGCTTCTTGGCGCGGTGCGATGGAGGTAGTGGAGGCCGCTGCCGCTCAGCTGGAAACTCTGAAATTCAATGGCACCGGCTTTGCGGTTGGCGAAGGTCCAGCGGCGGCGTCTCCGGGCTCTACTCCTACGCCAGGGACACAGCCGCCGCTACAGTCGCGTGAGGGGTCCCCGCACACTGAGCAGACCGTGGAGGTTAAGCCTGCCGGGGAGCAGCCACTGCAGCCCTTTCTGAACCCCGTCCCGGCCGGGACCCCAGCGCCGCAGCCGCAGCCGCCAGCTGAATCGCCGGCCTGCGGGGACTGCGTCACCTCCCCGGGAGCCGCAGAGCCTGCGCGGGTTCCGGACCCCTTGGAGACCTCGGAGTCGGAGTCGGACTCGGACAGGTCGGGTGCCTACAGGACCCGGAGCTGCGGGAGAGGTCTTGTAGGACAGGCGGGGGAAGCCGGGGCCTAGGAGCCTAGAGGTTGCCCGTGTGGGCCCTGGCGGGTGGGCAGGTCGCTGATGCTCCGGGCGCACGTGTTGACGTATTGGCTCTGACTGCCCTTTATTCTCTGCCTCTTTCAGCAGGTCGCGTGGTGAATCTGAGCTTAGTGATCAGTTCTCACTTCTTTCTTAAATTTGGTTACCTGAAGGGTCCCATGTATAGATCGTATCAGTTTTAGAAAATTCGAGGATCTTAGGTTATTTCCGTAACTATTCAGTTTAGACTGTACTTTTGTGGTTATAATTGAGTTTTATGACAAATATGATTTTTTTTTCCATCACTTCTCGGCCTTGTTTTTTGAACCAGATACATGGAGAATCAGAAAAAGGATTATTTTGTTTCAGAGCTGACTCTTGATAATTACGTTAATTTAGAGAGTCCTTGTAGGTAACACGTGTTCATGAAAGTAGCTAAACAGTGTTATTTAGGAGTATTTTATGCTTTACGTTCTATGAGAGCCTTTTCCCCTTCCCCCACTTCTGTCTTTTAAATACGAGACCTTTGGGCTGGAGAGAACTCCAGCATTTGGGTATTACTAAACCACACTGAACATTGTCCACAAATAGTTGAGTGAGTTGAGTGGGGTACTAAACAGGTTAATAGCAGACACGTGGTGAGGAAGTGAGAAGTTTAGTTTTCAGGAAGGTCTTCAGTGAAGAGGGAGAGTGGAGAAGGCTGAAATATTTGAGTAGAAGGAGAGGGTATGAAGTACAGTGGGAGGGGGAAGTAACTGTAAACAAGGTTGGATTTCTTGGCAGTACTAAGATTGCAGTGTGATCATTTTGTGGGATTTCAGAGTTCATTTTACTAGCAAAGAAAAGTAAGTGGTGGACGATTTGGGGATAAGTTTTGAAAGCAGAAGGAATATAGCATCATAATAGGCCAACTTAGTGTCAAGATACCACTAATGACTTTCTTTGTGGGTGATGGCAGAGAATACCAAATATTTGAAAAAATCAAAAGGGATACAACTTTTTGCCTGTTATCAGCAGTGAAATCAAATGGAAACTGAAGGGGAGAAGCAGGTTTAGTTAGGATCATGCACTTTTCCTTGTTTTAACTTGCTGCAAGTGTGGTATGTATAGGCCATTCATACAAAGGTGGCCAATAGATTGGGTATGGAGTTCAGAGATGTCCTAGCTGAAGATTTAGGCGTTAATGTCACATGGATGATGATTGAAATCATTAACGTCTATGGGATTATCCATGGAAGTAATGCAGAAAGAGGAGGAAGTCAGAGAACCCCTAAAAATAGTACATAAAAGGGCTTGAAGTGGGGAGCCAACAAACAAAATTTAAACTGAGACAGTGGTTGCTGTTAACGATAATTTCTGTGGAAGATAAGGACCAAGTGAGTTTTCAGAAAATGGAATGGTCCACATAATTTAGTAACTGAGGATTCCCCAAGTTGTCTGTAGATTAAGAAGAAACTCATTGGCAATTAAGCGATCTGGTTATTGGTGCCTAAGTGAGGTGCCATGCCCAGAGTTTGTTCCCTTTTGTTGGTGATTTGTCACATGCTTGCTTATACTTAGACAGGTGTATGATATGTGAGACTATTGTCATAAGAGGATCTGAGTTATAGCAGAGGTTGGAAAATGTTACTGGTAGACTCAAGACTATTCTCCCAATACAGTATCAGCTTTGAGGTGCTAACTTTTGAATTAGAACAGCAATAGTAAAGATATAGTAAAGATGATATTTCTTAGTTGAATAATCTTATTTTAATATCATTATAATAATACTGTACTATTTTTTTAACTTTTTTCTTCCCTACAGTGAAACAGATTCAGATAGTTCAAGCTCATCATCTTCCTCCTCATCTTCCTCATCATCTTCCTCTTCTTCCTCTTGTGTATCACTTCCTCCAGTGCTGTCAGATGGAGAGGATGATTTACAAGTTGAGAAGGAAAATAAGAATTTTCCTCTTAAAACAAAAGATGAATTACTTCTTAACGTAAGTACTTAGTACTTAGTTTGAATGTTTTAAAATATATTCTGGTACCGATACTGATCTAATTTTGCCTATATCTGCTCCATAAATTAGAAGTCCATTCTCAGCTTAATGGGCATGGCTTTTGCCATGTCTTGGCTTTCTTATGTAAAAGAGAGTAGTGATCTGGATAATTTTAAGGTTGCTTCTGACTCTCATATTTGATAATTGTTCTGATTGTGGCATCAACTTCAGCTTTGAACTTTCCACTTTTTTGCATTCTCTAAAGAAGATAGAGTTGCTTTTTTTTGTCTACAAGTCAGAAAATTTATTGATTGCATTTAGAGAAGTAGAAAGTGAAATTCAAAGGGTTGAGCTTGTTAGGATTCCTGTTTACTTGAAGTTTTTGGAGTGTTTTTATTATTATAGTTAATTATAGAATGGTATTTATTGGCACTTGATAGGTTTGGTTTGCAAAGTTAACTATTAAAGGTTACATCCTCCTGTGCTGTAAACTATCCTTGGGAGGATGATACTAGTCTGACTGAAACCTGTGACCCAAGAGGAAAGGCGTCTCAGAAGAATTTCAGAATGTAGGCTATGTTACCACATTGTTTTTTTTTTCCACCCCTGCATGTACTTTTAATTATTAATACTTTAAAAATATTTAATGATCACCAATCATAATTATTATATAACACTTAAATTGTTGAGATAGCTTAATGCAACATTTGAAAAAATAAAGCCTACAGGACTCCAGAGCCTTTTGTTATGAATGGATTCTACCAGTGTTAATTATTTGTCTTTTTCTCTACTCATAACAAGAAGTTTTCTGTCTCACTTACGCTTTATACATTGAAAACCTTGGGATTTGTTTGCAACTTCATCACTGGCTCATGTTTTCATGCTACAGATACGTTGGTGTTTCTTAGTGGTCTTTGTATATAAAGGCTCCCAACTTACAGCTATTTTCTGAAAGTAGGAGACTTGTTTGGTCTTACTTCCTTGTCTCTTGATCATCTTTCTACATAAGTTCCTTATTAGAGTACAATAATCAACAAAGAAAAGACCACAGTACTTCTGTAAATGCATACATATGATTGTCTTATCTTACTAGATCTGGAATTCTTACCTTAAGAATTTCTTCAAATTTAAGACGAAGTCTTAGCATATTTGTTTAGGTATTTTTCTAGACAAAATGCCCCCGTTTTCATCAGAAGATCAAAAAGGATTTGTGGCCACAAAGAGTCCAGGTACAAGTTCTTTGATGATTGAGTTCATATGTGGTCCTTTCAACTCCGATAGCGCCTAGTAGAGTACCTTACAGATAATGGGTTCTCAGGCCAGAGTAATATGTGATTATAGAATGAGTGTGTGCATAGGCATTTTATATTTATTCTTTAAGAAATTATTATAGCGCATCTGCCATTTGCCAGGGGCTGAAAACAGGACCAATCCAATTTCTGCTCTCATAGTGACTAATGGCGGGACACAGACAGTAAATCAAGTGGAGACAAATACATTTAGTTGCTTAAGTGCTGTTGAATTGTGTAAGTGTATGTTTGCCTCAAAAGACAAAATTTCATGTGAATGTTGTTAGCTTTTCAAACTTGGAATGGTGGGTTGTGACCATTTCAACAGCTCTTTGGGAATGATGGAAGAGGCGATTTATAGTCTTTATTTGGGAAACTTATTAGAAGTCCTTCAGACTACTCTGCTGTTAGAGATAGGTAAAGGAATGGATGAGTTCCCCAGTCTGCCCTAAATCTCTGGCTTACAGGTCTTGAAGATATTAGGACTTCTTCAGGGTTTCAAATCTTAAGTATAAGGGAAAAGAATGGCTTTGTCCTAAGTTCCAAGGATAGTATATAGTCACAAGTAGGTAGTGTGTTAGCAGTCTGCCTCTTTGTCTGTTTCTCAGGGCTGGCAGTTTGACCACTGATAGACTTTTGCACGAAAGTGATGGAGATGACTTTTGCGGGCCTGTGGTCTGTTACACAGCCTTGAACAAATCATTGAGGCTAGTGGAATGGGTATTCAGATTGCTTGGCTGTGAGTCACATAGTCACTCCTGTTTGTGTAGGTGAGCGTGTAGGAGAGAGTGAAGAGAGCATGTGTAGGAAAATGAACGCTTGAAAGAGCACATGGGCTAGACAGAAAAAGAGTGGGAATGCGTATGTATTATGAGAAGGATGGGGTGTTGGATGTGATATCAGCCCTATATAAACCACACGGAATGTTTTATCTTTCACAGGAAAGGGAGCTTATATTCATTCCAAAACGGGATGCTGGGCAGACAGTAATAACAGGTTATACTCTATAGAGGGAAAGGGAAATACTTGGAAGTGGTTATCATGTGTGACTTATGTCAGACTCGTTATGGGGAACAGAGACTGGAGGTTTATTTGAAAGCAGCTGGGAACTAAGGCAGCTATGAGGGCTAGTCACACTGTTTCTTTTACATGCCCTCTTGGATAGTCTCACAATTCTCTGTATGTTGTTTTAGTCTTTCATTATTGGCTGGCTTCCTCTGTTTATCTGTAGATTTATCTTTTTGCTTTTTTTTGAGATGGAGTTTTGTTGTTGCCCAGTAGTGTAGTGGTGAGATTTTGGCTCCCTGCAACCTCCGCTTCCTGGGTTCAAGTGATTCTCCTGCCTCAGCCTCCCAGGTAGCTGGGATTATAGGCATGTACCACCACGCCCGGCTAACTTTTTTCGTATTTTTAGTAGAGATGGGGTTTTGCCATGTTGACCAGGCTTGTCTTGAACGCCTGACCTCAGGTGATCCACCCGCCTCAGCCTCCCAAACTGCTGGGATTACAGGCGTGAGCCTGTACCTGGCCAGATTTATCTTTTTAATTCAGTTTATACATGAATTTCTGTATCTCTGGCTCTAAATATGGCATCTGTTGCTTTTCATATCCTGTGAACTGGCTAATTAGTGTTGTATTTCTCTGCTTACTTTTGGGACAATCCTGTTGTTTAGCTNCTTCATTGGCATTTAGTGCGTCCTTTCCATCTGAAAGTTGAAGTCTTCAACTCAGGGCAGTTTTTATCCTATACATCTCTAGGCATCCTATACACATTTCAAGAAGGAAGAAGTGGGAAGAGCAGAGACACTAAGGGGCATGCCAGCTATGCTTCTTCCCTTGAAAAAATCTTTGGGAGGCCTAGGTGGGTGGATCATGAGGTCAGAAGTTCGAGACCAGCCTGACCAACATGGTGAAACCCCATCTCTACTAAGAATACAAAAAAAATTAGCCAGGTGTGGTGTTGCACACCTGTAATCCCAGCTACTGAGGAGGCTGAGGCAGGAGAATTGCTTCAACCTGGGAGACAGAGGTGGCAGTGAGCCGAGATCATGCCACTGCACTCCAGCCTGAGCAATAGAGTGAGACTGAAGGAAGGAAGGAGGGAAGGAGGGAAGGAAGATAGGAGGGAAAGGGGAAGGGGAGGGGTGAGGGAAGGAAGGGAGGAAAGAGAAAAGAAAGAGAAAGGAAAGGACGGGAGGGAAGGGAAGGGGGAAGGGAGAAGGAAGGAGGGAAGAAGGAAGAGAGAAAGAGAGGAAGAAGAGGAAGGAAGAAAGAAAAAAAAAAAAGGAAAGAAAGAAAGAGAAAGAATTTTTTCTGGAAACCTTACCTAGCTTCACTTACCTGTCATTGGCCAGAGCTAGATGCTACCTCACCTGCAGGGAGAGTCTTGAGAATGTATACCTACATATTGCCTTCTTTATCAGAACAAGATTCTGTTCTTAATGAAGATGGGGAGAAAGAATAATGGGTAGATAATTGGCAATTCTGTCATAGGAATATCTGTTAGGTTTCTTGGATCTTTCCTTCATTTTTCTTCACTTTCTGTCACATACTCTTTTTGTCTTTTTGTTTTGTTCCAGGAAATTTTGATTTCCCTTTCTACATCTATAATTTTGTCATCAGGCATGTCCACTATTTAGCTTATCTTTTTTTTTTTTTTTTTTTTTTTTTGTTATTGTTTTTTTTTTTAGAGCCAATAATAGTCCTATTCTCACTAACACTCTGTTTTGCAACTTTTTCCCCTGGAGCTGCATTGGTATGTGCCGTTTTGTTCAGGCCTCCTGATATGTTACTTAGATTCTTAGGCAGCAGAGATTGTGTGTATCTTAGCTAGATGGATCTTCAAGCTCCATGTGGTCTGTTAATTTAACTATCTATCTAATGAAATTCTGAAGAAAATTAATGAAGTATTCTGTCCATATTGCCTTTGCTAAAAGGTATACACAAATTAAAATGTGTCAAACAGTTAAAACCAATATTAGAATTCGTGCTGGACCTTCAGAGATCTGGACATAGACATGCCCAATTTAGCGCAGTTTAACCCAATTTTATGTCTAACAACTTTCTAAAGTGTTTTCTAGCAGTTTCTTGTCACTCAGGCATTCTTGACTTAACTTTTACCTCCCTTTAGTCTGTGCCTCAAGCAGGAATGTCACCTCTCTGGATCTATCTTTTAACTCTTTGCATTGTGGGTTGTTAGATCTCTGTGATCTATGTACAATGCAGATCTTTAGGTATAAGAGAACTACAGTGAAGTAACTTTATGATTATTCTTAAACCTTAGAAAAGATGTAATTTTTTAATGGGAGGGTATGGTAAGGGGGAAGAGAATAAAAGAGGAATTAGTGAGCTATAGTGGCAGTGAAAAAGAAGAGTCTTAAGCGGCTCTCTTCATGTGACAGTTATGTAAGTTTAACCAGATAAAATTGCTTTTTTAAACATAAACTCTTCTTTAATGCTCAGAAAGTTTATATATAACCTACACAGTCACTGTAATGCAGCATACATATTACAACTTTGGAACTACATTCAGCCACGTGGGATGTAGTCAGTGTTTCAATGAATTGGAAAATTGAGGCTCTTTTTGACAATTTTTTTTTAGCAGTTTATGCCCTGAACTCTTCATTCAAATGTATCAAGTGTAATTAAAAATGTAGAGCCATAAAAACATTTGGGATTATGATTTTTAAGGTTTTAATCAGAAATGAGTTT